AACATATATGAATTGATCAACAAGGGGGTTCCAATTTTTCTAGATTCGATTTCCAAATTTGGTAAAATACTTGACTGAAATTACACAATAAAAATACTATATCAGATTCTTGTAATCTTAACACTTCTTAGTTTGGGTTTCTATTCAAAATAATGTTTATTATTATAAATAAAATAAAGATTTTATTCAAGCATTATTATTATTTTCAGGACTAGTGATGATATTAAAAAAAAATTTTATATGATTACAAAACACATTTATTCTCTTTCCATTTGTTTCCTTTTAAGTACAGCTTCATAGAGTTTCTCTTCCAATTGAATCCTCTTTTCCAATGGTAGGGAGAGATTCAGTATGGTATAACTCTTGCAGAACGTATGGTGTAGCCCATATTTTTCCATCCCAAGTCACACAAAATTTTATTCTAAATCCTTTTTTGGCAGGTGTGAAGGGAAGCATGTTAGATTTAAGCATTGGTATACTAGTGGTTGTATCCGCCGAATGATATTCACTAATTGTTCACCAATTATCTGGTTAATTGGGTATTGAAAATTTTCACCAAATAATTGGTGAATAATCAGTGGTACAGAATATAAAAAATAAAAAATTTTATCCATGTAATTAATGTAAATAATATTTTATCACTATTACATTCTTTAATGACAGCCAAACAAACAAAATTGAACCATTATTATTTGAAAGAATTGTATTTCTTAAAAAAAATATGCAATGTGTGTGTTGAAAATATTTTTCTTGATCTTGATGAATAAAAATTTATTATATTTTTCCTGATGAATAAAAAATTTTTTTTTAAATAAATTTAATATTCAGTGGATATTCAGCAGATATTCGGTAAATGACCAATTATCCGGGTGTTGAATTCTATTGACTGACCAATTATCCAGATGTTGAGTTTTATTGATTGACTAATTGCTCAAACACCTGGATAATCAACGGATACAACCACTACTAATTGACAAGCATGCATTTAAGTTAACATTTTAAATGAAACAGAGATTGTTTAGCAACTCCTGCTACCAAAGCTTCAAGATTCAATATAGTGACATAGTTTTAGTTTGCATTTATGATCATATACTAATAATGATTTTAAATTTTGAAATGTTGATATTTAAAGAATCGCCGAGAAAATTATCTCCGTAACTTTCAATGATTAATTATTGAAGTTACTTCTATCAGTAAGCTGTTCCATCAGGATAGATTGAACATTATTGCCCAAATAATAATTAAATTCTGACATTTTATTTCTTATAGGTTGGCTTTGAATAATTAACATACCATTCGCTAATTCTTGACAACTTGACAGTGGGTGAGAGTGGATTCCACAATTTAGCAAGCTGGGATTACGAACTGGTGCACTTTAAATTTACCCTTATAATCCCTAATAAACAAATGGAATTAACATCAAGCGTACTTTAAAGTTATTCTCTTAATTCTTGATAGCAAATGGTTGCCTAGGATTGACCTTCTCGGTGATGATATAACCATTTATGATCACTCAGTAGTCATAGAACCATATCTTACCTTGAGGCAGAAATGATGACCACTTTATGTCCTGGCCCTTGTTGTTGTAGTCGCAGGGCCACTGTGGTTTTCGTCCTGGCCATCATGTTCTTCATGTTCTTTGTGTTGACATGTTTGTTATTGTCATCGTGGAAATGGAAAGAGTTAAAAGCAAAAAAGAGAGATATATGGTGAACTTGCATTACCATGAAATTTACATGGGATTCATTAATACATAAGCTTTTGATTCTGTAAAAGAGAGAGAAAGAGAGAAAGAGGGTGGCAAGTAAGGAAGAAACAAAAAAAATTGATTTTCTTTATAATTTAAAGGGAGGTTTTTTTAATAATATACATTATTTCATTTGGGTCCATGAATGTAAAGAAATTAGAGAAGTAACAATTAAATCATGAGTACATTAATGTACAAATAAATAAGAACAATTATATCTTTTTTTTTGTCATGAGACAAAAAATGCATTATTATCTATTATACTGAGATAGAATCATTATTTTGATCAATTAATGTAAGAGATCTTGGCAAACAATTACTTTTTCGATCAATTGGCAAACAATAATAATAAACCATTACCATATGGGCCAATTTTTTTGATCGACGTCCTGTGACATTTAAAAATTGATTATTTTTATATATTAAAATCACAAGTCATCATACACGAATCTATAACGCACATAATAATCACTCTTGTGTTCCTAAGTAAAGATATTCTCCTACGACCTTTAAATATAGTAGTAATAAGAATCCACTTAAAAAGAAACCAATAAAAAAGAATCCTGTTTCAAAAATTACGTTTATAATAGTAATACAGTTAATTATTTATATATATCTAAAAATAAATAATGATCATCAAAATGTAACGCCCACGTGTCATTAATACTTTTTTCTTTTGCCGATCGAACAAATTGGCCCATATGCTTTTTTGATGTGGCTTACATCAACCAATCCCTTCATTTCTAAAATTTGTCAATTAATTGGTTAATTAACAAGATTATTGCAGTAAGCAGGGTGCGGTGCATTATTCCCCCAAAAAGGGACATTGGTATTACAAAGCTTACATACTTTTAAAAAATTATGTTGAATCAATAATGATTGATTTTTTCCATTCCCTTGTAATCATTCATTCAAAGCATTTTTTTGAACATTTTATTTGAGAAAAATCAAATTTCAGAATGTTCGAATCTTCCAAGGAGCTTACTCTACTCAATGTTACATATTTTGGCCTTCAGCAAATATGTTTTCATCAATAGAGATGGTTATATGAAATAGGTGTTTTATGAGAATCGAATTTGTTTTCTGGAAGCTCTTTTTCTATCAATTTCCAAATATAACTTGTTTCCTTTGGATTATTACCTTGACTGTGCTGTTGAATGTTGGAAAGGTAGCCTCAACATTCCATCATCCATTAGCCTTGCTATCACACCCACTGTTCCATTAAACATTTTATTGTTCAGCAACATTACATGTGCGGGAAAGTTGTTATTTTCTATGTTTAAATAAGTTAACTCCTCGGCATTTAAAGGATAAGTTATCTTAGTTAAATAATTTCCTTGACATTCTTTTAGGTGGGCTTCTTGGGCAAGTTGGTTAAGTGTTTAAATTGGTGAATAGTGTGACATTTAACATGTCTATTGACATTAAAATGATGAGTTTGTCACATATCTCATCAAATGACAGAGATTCACAGAACAACTTGTTGGTTGATCTCATTTGCAACTTCACGTGTTCCAACAATGTGTGTGTAATAATATTCCCTGCATCGATTTTAGCTAAGTTAAGTTATTTATATATTAATTTCAGATAATTTATCAATTTGTATTTCTTGCAAAATGTTGTAAAACTCAAATCATTTTGTTGTCTCTGTGGAACAATTGTGAAGAATTAGGCGTGCATGATTTTTCCTTAATTAGAATAGTAATAGAGGATTTGTACATATGATTCAATCTGGGGAAAGGTGGATTTAATGCTTTATTTTGCATTGGACAACACAAAGGTCAACATTTTATCTCATTTAGTCGGGTTCCTTTTTCCTTATTATTCTCCAATGTAACAAAGAAAAATCTCATCAGATAAACTTTAAAAAAGTATTTTCATCACTCATTATTATATATAACACAACAAATAGAATCTTTTCAAGTTCCTTTTCCCTATTGTTATCCAACATTCAATATCATGATCAAAGGAAACAAAGAAAAATCACATTGCATAAACTTATTAACTAATAAGAAGAGCATTTTCATTATTTATTATAACATGTGTATAACAATGTTACTGTATACCACCACAAATATATTACAATATTAACATGTAAATACATATATATATACACATTTTCTTCACAACTCATCTAAAAAGGAAATGATCAAGGTATTTTATGGTGTAAATAAAATATTTTTCCTCATTCATTTCACTTTATCACCTTGCTCATTTTCTTAATGGTCTTTCTTTCATTTTCTGTATCAAGAAAATTTTCTGAAATTGTTTTCTATTGCAAATGCCTTGATTGATGACCTATTATTCCTTCCTGTGGTTAATGTTGTGTTTTTGTAGAATTCAGACAAACTTTGTCATTCTTATTTATTAGAAGAAATTGTTTACTTTTTTTTTTTTTTTAACAACGACATTCAAATAGTATTTACGAATTTCTCTATTGCAACCACCATATTCCTTTGTCAGATGTTTTTCAAATTTCCTATATACAATGGTGTCATTTTGTAGAATAACGTCTTTTTGCTCATTTCCTTTCACAAAGTGAATCCAAACATTTGAAGAAGGTCGTTCAATAATTCTAAAAATAAATGCACATGATATTTAGAATCATGTGATTATACAAAACATATTCAAATATAAATAATTAATCTCCTTATTTACATTATTAATATATATATACCATTGTCAGCAGCAGTCAATAAAATATTTATTATAAGTTTCTTAGATTATATGCATATGGGGGAGGGGGCTTTTCAATAGAAAACAATTTCAGAAAATTTTCTTGATACAGAAAGTGATTAATATGAATACCTGCAACTTGTAGAGATACAAATGATTATGGATATTATGAAAATATAACAAATGATATAGATAGTGGTTATGGGTTATGATGATAGTATGCGGGTAATAAAAACTAAATCGAAAAGAAGCCAGTTAATAATTAGAAGGTAGGCTAGAAAACAATAGGTTTGATTGAATTTTAAAAAAAAAATAATGATTTTTTGATAGTTCTTACAATAAAAATTATGAATTAATTATAATTAAATTTTAACATAACAATAACGGATATATTTTTCTAATCCAACGATCCATTATTATTATAGAGAGAGAGTGGACTGTTTTTTAATATTTTAATTTTGTTCTTTAACAAATCGAGCACTAAAAGGAATCAACATAACCACAAAGGATATCAGCAGGAAATGTAATATTTTGTTTCTAAAAAGCTCTTTGATTAAAGCTGATTTAGAATAAATACTCTAGAAGTCTTTAAATGTTATTCAAGAATTGCTGACGGATGTTGTTGATCATTTTTACCTTCTCTTTTTTCGCATCGAATTCTTCACTTGACTGGCAGCACTTTAATACACTCGATTTTAGCTGAATCAGCTAAAATGATAATGAAACTAAGTGTCGTGTAGTGACAATTGAATAAATATTAAAAGTAACTATTTTGTACGTGGATTATTTAAACAATTAATTTATAATTGTATATTATCATATATATTATGTGCGATGAGAGGAAAGTGAGTATTAATGAAATAAATGGATGATGATTTACGAGAAGAGATAGAAGAAGGAGAAACAATTTGATAAAGAAGTTTATTGAGGAAAAAAAAAGTATATTCAATTAATAAATTATCAATTGAATTGTAATGAGAGTAGCACACATGAAACTTTTAAGAAAGCATATAATCAAATAAACAATTAAATTTAATGTCTATATTATTAATTGTTCCAAAAAAATACAATAATAATTCAAGAACAAATAAGAAACTATTTGGTGTTAATAAATTTAACGAATAATAATATCTTTGGTGCTTTTGCATTAAGCATTGTATTTTTTGCAATATTTTGTCTTAATAAATTCAGCCGAAATCAAGTGTTCTGGATAGCTAATTCCTCGGGTGAAAAAATTGGAATTGATGAATTGATCGGTTTATAGAAGAAGTATATACACTGCCTGGAAGAAAGTATCCGTGCCTCGTGTCACGAGATTATTGTTGCTGTTTGTGCCCTACCATAAATATCCGACCACCTGACGATCATTTTAAAATTGGGAAACTTGTGCCTCACGCAGTTCAAAATTTTATTAACCAAACCGGGACTGGTGCATCAAGTAAATATGTTTTTAAAGTTAATTTGAATATAAATTTAAAGTTTCGTTGGATTTGCATTATTAATGAACTTAGGATGAGAATTTAAATTAGACAAAAAATTCTGTGATTTTTATGAAAACTTTGAGCTTAGTAAAACAGTTCAAAACTCTGTTAAAACGTAGATTATGTCATTAAGTAAGTCCACTTAAAATATCTTGAGAAAAGTTGGTCTAGTATAGACAACGAAACGTAAAAGCTCAAGACTCTGTATTCTGTTGACTTTTATTAAATATTTTATATAATAAAATTAATAAAAAATAAATAAAACGTTTATCAAAAGCCAGTCAGTCAGTATCTTGTTGGATTGCAATGACTATCTATGATGGGTTTCACTCTCCTCAGAATTCTTTATTACTTCGGCTTCAGTTTTTACCCATTCCTCTTTCAATGTAACAATCAAATCTTTTTTATTTTTAGGATGTGGCATCCTTTCTCGAACTTTTCTTTCTAAAACATCCCACAAATGTTCAATGGATTAAGGTCGGGACTTTGTGCAGGCCATTGAATGTATGAGATTGAATGTTCATCTTTCCATTTAATTGTATCATTTGCTGTATGTGCAGGGGAATTATTATCCTGGAAGGGATATGTCAATTGACCATCTAAACTATTTAAAAAAGGAATTAAATTCTCTCCAAGTACTTCTCTATATTTCGAACCAGTAATACGACCATCAACTTCAACTAACGGTCCAAAGTTTTCCATTTACAAAAAAACCCATACCATAACTCCA